AATAATCAATAAATATCTTACGAATAAATCAAAGGCAATTCATTTACATAATCACCAGTGGCTGTTCACGTTTTACGGCGCACAAATCACTATCTCATTATTTGCGTTAAATTGGAATGTCAATCCACACGCTGATTTTCATTCGTCTCGATTCTGTTTAGAAGAGGAGTATCATCTCGTTTTTATCCAATTTCATCATGCGTGCTGAGCTATAACGCTGAGCTTCTCGCGTTATTGGCCACCGAATGACGTCGCCGAATGAATTATTAATGACTGAAATTATAGAGAGTCGAGATAACTATACCGGGCTTCGACACGCGACTAATTATAACCGTCGGTATTGTTGACTCGACGATAAATTAGCTCACGAAACCCTGGGAGCCTGTCTACGCAGGCCACTGTCTAATAATTCGCTCTAAATTAGAACGTCGTCGTATATCGACTTTTATTCGTCGCGGCGCTAAAGAAAACGTCGGCCGGTTTTCCACTTAATCTGATCTACGCGCTCCGCCACTCTTTTTTTCATTTCAGCCGTAATCGGAGTACGCTGATGAATTATTAATGGCTAAAACGTGCTAAAATTATGATCGGTAACCGCTTCGTACCTGTCGCGATACGTGTTTTAGTTATAATCCCGAGTATTAAAAACGCGCTCGCCATTGACTACAAATTATAGCGCGAGGAAAATTAATGAAGCGTGACTTATCGATCTCTTTCATGTCTCTTTCTGCTTTTTATTTACTGTTTCCCCGAGAGACACCGCGATGACTCTGCGGTGTACATCTGTGCCAGCGTAAGTGCTGGTAATCTGTCCACTAGATCCACTACGTGGTGACGGTGGAAGATCGTATTATTAATTGGGAGCAGAAGAGGGGGCTGCTTAGGCGTAGTGGTTTAGGATGGACTACTCGAGGAGGCTTCCATTCATACTGGTGGTGAGTCAAGACTCATCGCTGAGCGGCTACGGGCGCCAATTTTCAATCGTTATGATTTGGACCGCTCTGGAGACGTGCTGGGGATTTCGTCTCTCCGTGACAATCGGCACTGCATCCATTGAGCGGAAAGCGAAAGACTCGGGTTCGATTCCCGATTCAGCCACTTGTACCTCGCATATTTTTTCAGACCCGCAAATGTTGTTTTCTAACAATTATTTGTCGGGCTGAGGAAGTGTGTAAACGCCCTACACAGATACGACAGTGCCGCTGCCGCGGAAGAGATGGATGCTTGGTTCGTGCCTCCTCCCGCCTTAAATCCCCCCCTCGCTTCACTCGATATTCTCCGCGGAGAACACGATAAACATACGATATGCTCGCGACATGTACTATACGTTAAAAAATTTATCAAAAGATAACAGTTATCTTTCTCTCATGATAATGGATTATTATTATTAATTTCGCTGCGCAAAAAATGGATAACGAGAATTCGATACCCGTGAAATAGTAAGGAAACTATAATCGAGCGAATGATATACAGCGCTATCCTACCGCGAGGCATCTTAAGAACGCGCGATCGACCATGAATTATGCGGGGACGCTAATTAATGAAGCGTAAGTATCGTTAATTTCACGCTGCACCTATACCGACGTATCGGCGATTCGAGAGAGCGCACGACCCTGACCAACGATATTCGCAGCCACCGTTATACTTCCGACCGTCTCCTCCTCGGTCTATTACGATCCACCACGGCCCGAGATATCATTGATCGCGAGGATCGTGACGATCGTGATCGCGAGACACGCGGCTCATTTCATACTCTCGTCGGCGCGTGGGCGCGGATAATTACTGTTTTGAAATCGGTGCCGACCCGCGCCGCATCGGATCGTAACAATGATCGCGCAATGGGCTCAATCGGAGATCCATTATCGACTTTTTTTCGGACACGTGGCACGTACAATGAAAAATTAATGGGGTTTCTCCCCCATCCTCCCCGCCTCCCCTCTTCTAGATCACAAGATTCTATGCATTTCGTTAACACATCTTCTCGTGTTTTTTTACTATTCATTTACCGCATCATTTATTTGGTGCATTGATGGTATTCTTTAGAGCTCGATACGCTTAACATATCTAAACTCTATGTAAAAAAAATTATTGTATATAATTTCTCACAATGCAGTATGATTACGATGATTAATACCGAGTGTCAACGCGTCTCGACTGGAAAACTTTTAATTAGCATTCATGCCAGTGTGAAACGAATAATGAGAAATTCAGAAGACCAGTCGTTTCGCAAGGTAACTTCTCATCAATAGCTTTTAATTCGTCTATCTTTGGCAGGATGATGGAGAGAGAGAGAGAGAGAGAGAAGTCCTCGAAATCGGGCACACCTGGGCAGTTATGTGACTGGGCGTGCCTGTGTTGGCTGCGCAGACTGGCAGGACGCGTGGGCCGGCACCGTATTATGCTTATCCCCCTGAGAGAGGCGACTCGTGCGCGAAGCCTGAATCGGGTCTCAGGACCCGCGGCGCGGAGAAAACGCCGCGTCCTGGCAGCCGCGACAGGAACGGGCGTCAAGTGAGACGCGAGACGGTATATAACGCGAACGTGGGCGACCAGGTGCAGCTTTGCCAGTCGTGCTATAATTACGGTATTCGGTACCGCGATAGTGTGGACGTCTGCTTTTCATAAATTAAAAGTACTTTTGTGCGCGAAAAGTTAAAGGGCTCACAAATATACATACGATTTTAATTTTCTTAATCAAGGTTCGAGAAGATGTCTCTCACATTCGAAATTAATAATAATATGTTTGATATCAATATCTACATCTACTTGTATATCTATGAAAATTTAATATATCTGTAGAATACGAGTTTCTCCATTCGCGATGCTGCAATCTGCAAGTGGCGAAGCGCAATGACAGCAGCAGCTTCGAGCTATCGCCAGAAGTACGCTATCTCGCTGATAAAAGGAGGACTGCAACTTAATCGAGAACAACGCGTTATCTTCCTCGGTACGTAACCCGCGGAACTTCTGCGAAAATTACGTACCAGGAAAAGATTGATAGCGTCGTTGAAGAAGCGCACACGTGTGCTCGTGGGTATCATATAATTCCTCCCACATATGAAATTTGCGTACGAATCGGATGGCGCATAAATCGCCATTTCCGCGTCACGATAAAACGATTTGGGTAGGTAACTGCGAATCATCGATTTCCGAAAATCGATCCAATGAACGAACGGCGTTGTGATTAACACGGCGCCGCGTAGTCGCGATCGAACCGAGCGAACGATAAAATTGACGGAGAAAGGGAAGAGTGGGCAGCATCTTCCGCAAGATTCGAGTCAACAGTACATCGATCTTAATTTTTATAACGTCTTTTACACATGACATTTTTTTGCAATTAAATCTCAATTTTTTTATTAAAGTATTTAATAAAAAGTGTCAAGAAAAATCGGTTAAATCTCAGAGAACGTCTTCTCGTTCTATTTCCCACGAAAATATCTCGGATAGTTTTTGTTGCGTCATATCACGGAAAGCGTAATCAATCTTGCACCTTGTGCGAACGAGAGTGGCGATTTTCTCAGCGGCTTGCACTCTTTCATTACGTATTGCAAAACACGGACGCTTCCGTGTCCTCTGATTGACGCTTGGCGCTCGAGATGGCGAGCTAAACTCCTCGTTAACTCGAGTCGAGCCCCGCGGGCATAGCCGGAAAAACTTTTAATTATATACGACGGCTTCCGTCAAAGATCGACGACACTTTACGGTGCCGATCGACTTGCAAATGACCGGGGAAAAGGAGCAGGGATCTCTCGAGGAAAGCGACGCGATAGCCTTGTCGGTTCAGGCGGCATTGTGAGTTATTGAGATTAAACGATTAGCCGCGGGGGCCCCGGCACGGGACTTTTATTCATCAGCGTCGTCATATCGCGTCGTTGACATCGTCGTGCGACGTTCGACCGTAAACCGATCTCTGGACAAAAAGACGAGGGGATCCGAGCAACAGGGGATAAAAAGAGAGAAAGAAGAGGGGCCGCACTTAATCTCCGCTTATTAAATAAATCACGGGCTCCCTGTTACTTTGGGCAACGCGATATTGCCTCGAGAAGCCAGCCTCTTATAATTCCTACATTAATTTCTTTAATAGTCCACGAAACAATCCCGGCGACCGACGGGGTACATCATGCCGGAACGGTATCATTGGCCCCGGGGGAGGAATTAAACGCTCTCCTGGATCGTAAAGGAATTAAATTATAGTCGTAACTTATTTATAATGCGCGTCGCTTTATTTAGCGCGATTAACGCGATGAAAAGGGGCATGGCCTGCGTGCGTGGCTGCGAAATGACGGCGATTTAATAATTCTCGGAGCGTAATGGATCAAATTTTCTCGCGAGCCGCGCTTTTTCATCGAGATCTTAATTTTCGGTATGTAAAATCGCGCGACTCATGAAACTTCAAAGCAACTTTTTAACTAATTTTTTAAATAATTTCTAAAATAAAGAAATATTTTAGAGAAATATATAAAATCATAATCTTTTATCTGTGATATTATTATGAGATATATTGTCGATTATAGTTATTTATTATGAATTTAAGTGATGTGGATAAAATAGCCAAAATATCGCGTGTTAATTTTAACTTATTTTATAGGCCTGGACATTAATTCGCACTTATAAAAGAATGTTTCAACTGTTTCTAGATTTCTTGCGCTTTTGTTGAGGCGATTGTCCAGTAGACCTTGAATGCTAACCGTCTGACGTGTTTTATCCACCCACGTACCGACAATGCGTTGCGTGTCAACACGCTCACGCATGATTCTTGTAAGAGAATACTGCATAATATGCAAAAAAGAGATGAGAATCATCGCGAATATAAATTCCCCTTCTCTACTCTTAAATTATACGAAGAATAAAATAATAGAAATTTTTCTATAAATTCATATACGCAAAGCGTGAAATTCCCAAGATATTATAGTTCTGCAAACTTAATATTTTACGAAACCGTGCAGAGATGAGATCGTTTGGGAATAAATTCTTCTAAATTATAAAAAATTAGAATTACGCTATATTTTTCCTACGAAAAACATCCGCATGGACTCACCTCTAACGGCGGCGTTCAGCCTGTCGAGATTGGCGAGTGTGAGCGGAACCGGACCAAAGTGCATGACGATTTTGCCGATGTGTCGCGCGTCGCCGCGACGTGCCATGAAGATGCCGGTGTAGCCGCGTCTGACGTAGTTACCGCAGGTGTCGTTCACGACGAGATCGACGGTGGCATTCAACGCGCCCTTGATCGCCCGCTTAACGCGCGCGTGAAGTAGCTGCTCCTCCTGCCGCAACTCCTTGATCTTCCCCGTGAAGATGTAGTCCGACTGGCGCACCTTGTCCAGGAACATTGTGTCGTTCTTGATCGTCGCCGTCAAGTTCGCCCGACACTCCAGCAGCTCCCTCGTCGAGAGGCTCGCCAACGACAAGCTGGCCCAGAGGACCATAAAACTAATTACCGAGTAACTAGGCATCTTGAGATGTTCACTTCACGTCATCATATCGGTCTTGATCTTCGATATGAATCGCGCGGTCTACCTTGCGGATTTTACTCGTCTTTTTTTCGGCGTCCACACTCGGTGATGAAATTTTTCACGGAAAGTTACGCTACATATTATTTCAACGCAATCGTTCTCCTCCTTTGTATAGGTTCGACATTAATCGGAGATTCAAATGTGAACTTGTTTTTTTCATTAATTCTAAATCTCGAATCGACGATTTATTTCTAGGACTTTTCGCCGATCCTATAATCTTAATAAGAGTCCTTATTTGACAAGAGTCTGTTTAATCACGAGTTGATTCATTTTCATTTTTGAGACGAGGACATATCTTGAAGAGCTGCTATCGTCAACAAGCTCTTCCAAGAACGCGTCTTTATTCAGAAGTAGCCGGGATCAATCGCTGGCTCCGAAACAGAAGGCTCGCCGATCCCACAGCGCCTTCGATAAAGACACGCTCTCGGGCGTTAATCAGAAGTCGGGCACTCGAATGTCCGCCGGTTCGGTTGATTAATTCCTGGCTCTCCGAATCGAGGACGGGTCTCACGGTGGCGGCGCAGGCTGGACACCCGGAGTCCTCTAAATGGAAACGAGTCCGATCTCGAGCAACAGGTTGGCGCCGCGTGTCGACCCACGCTCGCCGATTTCCAATCCGCGTGCCAGCGTTGGTTTGCCTCTCGTGAAGAACAAGCGCGACGTTTCTCGGTCGATCGAATCGATAAACTGCCGTCGTCCTTCTCTCGCAACGTTTTATCGTCGCCCTGATGAGACCAGATGCCGAATGCGATCGTCAACGAAACCGCGCGCTCTATCCACGCTTCGATCATCAACTGGTTCCGATCGAACCTCCGAACGATCGAACGTGAATTCTCTATAGTCAGCCTGCTCGTTTCGATAAAATCAGAAGTCTGATCGCTCGTTCGCGCCACTGTATGCCATCGGGAACATACGATTTAAATTTTTAAAAAGCAAAAATTTTACTGAAATTCATTATACGTAAAATATTTTTACGCGCTAAACATGTGTTACATTTTCGAAATATATCGATTCGCTGGAAAATTATAAGATTATTGCAAAACTTGATTGAGTCACTTCGAATTTCGATAACGTAACGCGCATGAACTTTGCGAACATCAACTCAACCACCTATTTTAATGATGGCTTGTCTAATTAATGAATTAAATTTAGCAGGCACTCATTGGATAGCTTTACAATTATGCAATCACGATACATTAGCATTCCAAGAAGCAAAAATATTTCAAAGAGATAGCAGTTATGAATATTCATTAAATTATTCCGTACTATCGGAAAATATTAACAGCGTTCGTGTCCTTTTTAAGTGAAACTTAATTAATTAATATACTGTCACTTCGATATCAGAAAGACATTTATTTTAATCCTCGTTTTGCAGAGAAAAACGTGCCACCGCTCAAAAGCGAGAAATTGAAGAATGTTCAGCTGTCACCCAGTTTCTAACAAATTTAAATCACCTAATCCAATATATCGTCACGTTTTACATTTTGCATACGAATGTTATAAAAAAAGTATCGAGGTTTTCTTATTCAGTTTCACCAACACTTATCCAATTATACCATAGAGAGCATCGATATTATTCGTCATAACAACCATCCAACACATTTCATTTAATTTTCTCTACACCCAAGACACGTATACACAAGACACTGGGATGGACCATTTGATCACTCGCACAATCTAACAGATGCTGCCAAAAGCAATGTCAGCGCGAACTTGTCAGGCGGACGTGTGTTGAGGTTTGCCACCGCGCGAGAGTGAGAGAGCAGTGGTCGAGCAGTGGTGGTTGGTCGCGTGGAGGCACGCGCTGGACTGAGGAGGGCTAAGTGTGGATGCTGCAACTACAACGTGTAGGCGTAAGTCGCCTTAGAGAACGCGGTGGACCGAGAGGGAGAGAGAGATGAGGAGGGCGCGAGGACGTGTGAGTGCCCGCGTGTCCGTGACGACGGTACACGCGCCCGTGCACGCGTGTGCGTGAGGTGAGTGAGCGAAAAAGTGCACGCGCGCAGCCACACAGGTACGCGCGCACGCACCTCGAGAATACCCGCGACACGTTCGCGTCGTTGCTGAATCCGCTTACACGCGCCGCACGCACGCGAATTATCACGTGAAAAAAGGTGAGAGGGCAACCCGCCGCTGATTGGCACTTGCAAAAATTCCCGTGAAATAACCGTATCATGATAACATTTTCAATTTTTAATTCATTTTTAATTTCTATTATATTTTCAATTTTTAATTTTACGAATAATATTAAAAAGATTTTTTAAATATATTAATTAAAGATAACAATTTCCAAAATACAAACAGCCTAAAATTTATAAAACTTTGTAAATACGTAGTAAATACGTATATATTAAAAACACTATAAGTCTTGATAAAAAAGAAAAATTTTTTTTACATAATTTGTTGAAATTAATTTTTTAAATCATTTTTGGATTTACAAGTCCAAAAATGCAAATAAATAATAACACTTTCACTATCGTTTATCTTAGCTACCAAAATATGTTGCAAAAAATCTAGTGTCCAATTTAGTGTCTGCAATATTTTTAACACTATCAATTTACGAACGTGCCGATCGACATCGTCGAGAAAGCGGCGAGGGTTAAACGATCTAATCGACACTGGCTTAACGATCTTGGGCGATCTCGGATGGTTTGTAATTGATGGCGATCGATAATGCCGGGCGTTACAACAACTCCTCTCCTCGAGGTATCACCCACGAAACGGTGAGAATCCTGCCTAACGAGTGCCTGTGAAAAAAGTTAATGGCTCGACTTCGACAACGACTTCGTAGGTGGAAGACAACGCGCGCGTTCGTCCTCTCTTATTTTACGATGATAGTTTCGACGCGACGCGGCATGACTATTGGTCGGAGCGTGACGTATGGTGTCGTCAGTTATGGTACATCATAATTTTCGCGTATATTCGCGTGTCGCGATGCACCTTCGCGAACTGGGTGTGGATTCAGCAAGATTCTTGTCTTTCGCAACACATCAACCAGACGCGGTCTCGAGTTTCGAACGTTCGCAGAAACGATCCTTATGATAGAAATCCTAGAGATTTGCCTACGCCTTTTAAGATAAAGAGAAACGGAAATACAGCCTGTTCCCAAAAAAATTTGTTAGACATTTTAATGTGTTATTTAAAATTGAAAATCAGAGGATTAAATTTCGAATAATATATTTTCTCTAAATACGATTCCTATTAGCTTATCGTGTATACAAATCTAAAATTGCTTGTTCTACGATTAATTTTCTTGCTCAAACAAGAAAACTATCATCTGTAACAGAATTTTATACTCGCTTGAATAACGTTACATCATTCTATCATTTTCCTTCAAGTTAAAATTAGTATTGGAAAGATTTGTTGCATATTGAATTCTACGAGGATTGCTTCTCTCGAGTAATATATATCTTAATATCTTGTACTGTATAATATACTGTATAACATGTAGCGTTAAATGGGATTGTGCGATTCTCAGTCTGCGATAACATTGAACGTGATCTTCATAAAAGCCAGAATCACAACACCCACGCTTAGCGCTAAATGCGGGATATGAATACAGAGTAATATCTCAATCCATAGAGTAATATATCACAATCTTGTAAAGTTTCAAGATACTAGCCTGCAATATCCATTACGTCGTCAAATAATTATACCGTTGGCATCCCACACGAGCTTTCATAAAACTGCGTTCGCCTCGATCTAATGGACCCGGTAATAAGAAATTACGCGGTTAAGTCAACAATTTATGCCACAGTCGGGGGTTAATTAGTATTGTATGATAACGAAACACGAAAATCTCATTGCTCGCTAATCACGATACAAATCGGCGCCCAATCTCTATGTGTAAACGCAAACAAATTTAAAAATTTATAATGAAATTTCATATAAAATATAAAATTCTACGATGCCCCCTTTTTTACATTAGTGCTAATTTAATGTGAGAGAGAAGCTTTCTCTATTCACATATACATATTCCTATTTTATTTTAAAAGTTATAATTTATATATCAATTGTAATTTTTAAAATGTTTTTTGAGATGTTTTTTTTTTTTTTTAATTTCTTGATATATATTTTTAAAATAGTATATGTCCTTTCTAAACTACCATATCAAATTCATCTCGATTCAAGAGATCGCGCAAGATTAATATCTCTGTGCATCTTTTATGAGAGCGCACAATATTAGCCAAGACATCGTCGTACGCAAAATTAGCACACCACGTGTCGCCGAGGTGCGACACGTTTAGCAAGGGGAATTCCAGCCATACGTTTTGCCGCGGCGTATTGTCACCGATGGCGCGTATATAATACACTCGGCCAACGATAATGAATGCGCCGTGGTCTGAGACTCGTGCCGTACACGACTAAACGAGATCTCTTTCTCTCTCTTCTCCGGCTGAATGCTCCGAATCCATCCACTGGCACGCGATCGTTTTCGCGACGTGGAGGACGCTTCCATGGGGGCATTAAGTCCCCATAGCATGCGCGACCCGAACGACGAGCGAGGCGAATCGGTCGTCCCGAGATGCCCACGCTTTCGCTCGATATATATATCGCCGGGAATCGCGTGTCCTTGCATCGTCCTCACCGCGTTCGCAGATCGTATCCCGAGCGGGAGAAGGCGCGATGTCCGAGTTATACGACCCCTCGTATCTTACATACGCGCCGATTCTCGATACGCGTAAGACTCTGCGAAATATCGCGTGTAACACCGAAACGAGGCGTGTACATTCTAGTTTTATCGCAAGATCGTACTGTTCCTAGAGAACAGATCTCTATAAACGTTTTATGTATCTTATAAATATAATGAATATATCTCTAAGAAATTCTATAAACAATATATTTTTATAATTTAATACGGTATAAAGTTGACAAAATTAATATGAAATTGCAAACAAAGAGATAGCAGCGATCTGTTGAATCTCGTAATATCACGCATT